AATTCCACTAGTTTCGTTTTACCAAGTTCATCCCATTTTTTGGTCATTCTTCCAAATCTCATGTGCGACAAATTTTTCAACCATTCAAAGTATGAAACCTGAACATTCATTTGGGCGTGAGGATGTTTAACTTAAGATCTTAAAGTGCGATATAATAATCTACTCACTGTAACGCCTCCGGCGTTTAGTAACAAGTCTGGTATAATACAAATCCCTTTGCTTAGCAAAATGTCATTGGCTCCTGGGGTCACAGGACCATTGGCGGCCTCACCAATGATTTTGGCTTTAATTTGGTTGACATTTTTAAGTCCGATTTGACGTTCAAGCGCAGCCGGAATCAGAACATCGCACTTCAATTCGAGAATCTGATGCATACAGTATAGAAAGGGATGGATTATTTGTTGAGTGATCGAGAAATTTCAAAAATAATTAGAGTGAATCATCATTATAGTGTTTAATAGCATTTATACGTAATGCGAAATTGCTAGAGAAAACGAGCTTTGACAAAGTAGAACTTATAACCTCTAACGGATCTTCTAAAATTTCGGCATTTGGAAAACCTCGGAATGAACCATTGTTCTTATAATAGTCGTACAACTCGTCTATTTTTAATCCCTTAACATTATATGCACCACAATCTTTTTCGCCGATCCCAATCACCCGGGCACTACAGTTGAAAAATAAAGTTGATATATATGAATTGAATATTGTTGGTATCTCGCAAATACTATTTACATGATCATTTACCCATTATCGTCAAAAAATTTTGCGGCCCAGTAACCCACTTTACCAAATCCTTGTATAACAAAGCTCACGTCTTTGATACTTCCTCTTAACCCTGTAGATTTTTGAACTTCTGGGTATGAAAGAAACTTGGATAATGTCCGATGAATTTATTCACAAAAACACAGAGAATCCAATTCATTTAACATCTGGCATGTTAAATCTGTAATTCGTTTTTCGTGACGTGTGCTTTGTCAAATGACCTTCTGTAACACAACGTTTTGCATGTACTGTAATATACTGTGTGATGCATGACGCACATCTAGATCCTTAGATCGGAGACATTCTCATCTACAAACGATTTCGCGCGGTTTCAATGGCAAACAACTCGAAGCTTTCACGAATTGTGAATCCTTTTGCCTTGGCTGGTAATTTCAGCCCCAATCCGACCTTGAATCGACTCGTGAAATTTCTGAATTCGGTTCCAGGGACTGACAAGGTTTTAATGGTATAATCTTCACGATGATTTGTATCCGGCTGTTATTGTTCGGGAGGGAGATAAGCGATTTCGTCAGTTCAAAGAATTTTCT